GGGATTTTGCTGTAGTTTTCCGCGGTTTTCATCTTGAAACCGACCAATTTCGAACCATCGCCCTCAAAATAATTGATGAAATAGTTTCGGGACCCATCGACAGTAGAAAGGTAGAAACTTAAGGCGAAAATAATGAAAAAAATTAACAGCTGTTATGACCTGACCTGATTTCAGTTTGGTAAAATTGAGTAACTCGCAAAGAATGGAACTGTAGCTCCATGGTTTCGCGTTAATACCACGACGAACGAAATAATCGACAGCGAAACCAAGTGAGCTAAAGAACTGCAGCTAGGTTCAACCACGGTTTCGTTCAACACAATGGCAACAGCAGACTGCAACGTCAGCGGTCGATCCACACAACTTTTGGAAAGAACTTCTGCCAGTCACTGAATTCCTCGCAAACATGATTTCGTCGGTCCCAAAAGTTCCACAACATCCATAACCACTTTAGTTCAGTCTTTGGAAGGAATTCAGTCGATTTAACAGGAGAATCGACCTGCCCACACAGACTGAAACAATTCGACTGTCCGACATAGGAACGCATAGACTTATTCATAAACAAAGTTATTCCAACACCATACTATAGATAGCACTCTCACTATAGGCCGCCACAGTAGAGTTTTGGGGGGCTAATTTGCATAATTTTTGGCAGATCGACTTCTCATGAACAAATTACCATCTACACTCATCAAGGCATCCACACACCAAAAATCGAGTCAAACGGCTTGGCGGTTTTTGAGAAGAAGTCGTGCACAAACAGACAGACATACAGACAGACAGACAGATAGACAGATAGATAGACAGACGGACGACAGACGCAGAACAGAAACCCTGCCCATAGGCTCAGCGGACCTATGGTCCGTTGAGCCAAAAATATATTGCCATCCATACATCAAATATACATGCTCAGACAATAATGGCTATTACATACCTTACAAGAGAAACCAACTGATATTTATAACAGGTAGAATCTAGAAAATGTAAATAAAAATATTATTTAGTACAATGTTTGTTCAATTGTTTTCAACCAAATCAGTGATATAAACTTTGTATAGTAAACAAGCTCAAACACTCAATTATTGACATGCAAATAGATACCATTGCGTAAAGTACATTTTAAACAGGTTGCATGAACATAATTGCCACTTGTACAATGTTTGTTCAATTGTTTTCAACCAAATAAATTGGAATCAGTGATATAAACTTTGTATAGTAAACAAGCTCAAACACTCAATTATTGACATACAAATGTATACCATTGCGTAAAGTACATTTTATACAGGTTGCATGGACATAATTGCTAATCTGTTTCAGAGAAGTTGTATATTATGTTCAGATAAAGTACAAAGGCTATAATGCAGTGCAAATTCCATGTAAGAATATCACATGTGTTGTTGATAGTGTTTTTTTGACATCACAACAATTGTACGCAGCCATATAAAAACCTTAACTTCTAAAAATCCTAATATTGTACATTTTTTTTAACCATAACTTCCAAAATATATTTTGAAAATAAATTTAGTTATCTTGTTATCCAGCAAGGTGGTAAGATAACACCAATATCTCAAAGTGTTCCCTGAAGACAAGAAGAACCGACAATCAGTGCAACCTGGGGGGGGCGTGGATATTTTCTTACATTTATCAGTGTGTGGGTGTGGGTGCATAATTCATGATTACATTGTCTATCTAAGGCTAATCTATATTTGTATATATATTATTATACATTTAAAAATATTTGTTTGAGGAACATTTTCACCTCCACCCTCACAACTCATTGAAAAAAAAAAAACATTCTAGCCAAAGAACATTTGAAGTTGAAATAAAGTATAGTAAAATTTGTATTAGAAGCCACATCCCTGATAGAATCTGCACCCATTTTTTCTGAACAATTGAGAACTGAAACTTCAGCCGCAGCTTCTAATAAAGATTTTACAGTCCTAACTTTAAAATTAACATTAGGACCATGTAGCGTTTGTTTTTTCCTCAATCGATGAATGTTTTATCTGTATTACTTTATTACCCGATTCATATTAATGGTTTATGCATTGTACATACTGTTAAGGGGTTAATTATTCACTGGGTTTTAATTTTGCTTATTTCGCTGACTGGAGAATGTACTAAATTAAAACCCAGTGAATATGTAAAACTTAGCATAGAACACATTATTTAAATAATAAAACCGTGAATTTAAAACCTACTGAATATGCCTGAAATGGTAAATCAGCGAAATTTAAACCCAGTGAAAATTTGTCATTTCACAGTGAAGCACAAAATCAATGAACTTATACCATAAATACGACATGTATTTTAGTGCGACCACAAGTTAATCATATTATATTAAAGACAAAACATTTCCTCCCCAGCTCCAAAAAACCTGTGAGCAGTTTACCTATTACAACAGCCTTGTGCAATGGTGTTTATCACTATTTGGGTGACTTACTAAACAAGCAGCCTCTCGGCTGAGATAGCTCCGCTGTTAGCAATGCACATTTCAATTAAAGAACAGAAAGTATCATTAAAAAATGAACAATATATATAGTATCAAAACAATCAGACTTGCGGTTTTCAACAAGATGTGGAAAATATCACTTTTTACCAAAAATTACAAAAATATTCATCAAAATTAGAGAATTAAAGATATCATCATGAAATGAACAAATCTGAGTTAGAACCACATGTAGTACCTATATATGTAATATCAAAGCAATTGGACTTGAGGGTTTTAACAAGAAGTCGAAAATTTCACTTTTTACCAAAAATGACAAAAATATTCACCAAAATTAGAGAATTAAAGATATCATTACAAAATGAACAAATCTGAGAGAGGTCCACATGTAATACCTATATATGTAATATCAAAGCAATTGGACTTGCGGTTTTCAACAAGAAGTCGAAAATATCACTTTTTACCAAAAATGACAAAAATATTCACCAAAATTAGAGAATTGAAGATATCATCATGAAATGAACAAATCTGAGAGATTATCAGTATCAAAGTATCAAAGCATTCAGGCTTGTAGTTTTCAAGAAGAAGTCGAAAAAGTAAAACATTGACACGAACGGCGACGGACAATCACTCATATGATAAGCTCCGCTCGACAAAGTCGACAGCAGAGCTAAAAACAGAACTAATGATCCATAGTATAGTAGACATCAGTAGATTGTCACAAAATCTGACATCTTACCTCATTATGGCTTTACAGTAAATTGTGACGAATCCTCAAGAACTTTACTAGTAAACAAAATCCTTGCTAAAAATAATGTCACAACCAATATAAATACATATGTCATTTTTCTTTTATTGCTACTAACAATTTTTCTGGCCCACTAGTAACACTAAAGATGATTAAAGAAAATTTTTTCTCAATCAACAATCTTATAATATTCAAAAAGTGATCATGTAATTACTGAGTATTCATAAGGTGGTGAGGATGATGTAATTAATCTCATTAATATTCATGAAGGCTAAATCTAATTGAAATCTGATGAAGGTAAGTGGCAATAGTGGCTTTCAATATACACAATGTATGGTCATTGGTTATGGCCTTTGGTGTATTAACTACCCATGAAAACCACTTTAAATTCTTGCAGAATCAGCAGCCAATCAGACCTTGTCTTACAAGCCGTTACTTACAACATTACCTGTTTTAGTAAAACATGTTCTCATTGGTTGATAAATCGCAGAACACAATTTTGCATAGTTGGGGCTTTCATTGTGTCATTACAGGGCACACTGTCTCAGCACAGACCTGTGAATTAATATGATGCCTTACTAGCCGATTTTAGTTGAAAGAGCGCACTCTTATTTTTCACACTCAATATTTTTTCTTTAGAAATTAATTTGATTTCACATCACATATTTAGTGAAATAATGTTTAGTGAGTGAAATATTAATGTCAAACAAAATTCAATCTTTGGAACAGCAGAAATAACAATAGTAAAATTTGTGTTTGACGTTTAAATTTCCAATGTAATTTCAAACTAGCTTGAAATAGAACGTCCTTGAACAGAATAATATCTTATATGGAATGCACTCTGGACAACAAACTAGCAGCATAACTGATTTGAGTAATTTTAGCGATAGTTTATTTCTACAATATTTCTAACTTCCATCTATCATTATTTAGGAAAGAAATCACTGGAGCGATTTTTTATATCCATAAAAAATGTACCAACTGACGATTGACTTTGAAATGTTCAAAGTTTCGAACAAACAACAAATATAAGTGCACTCATTGCGTGATATGTGTCAGAATTATGTAAAGAGAATGTAGACCTGCAGTGTCAATGAGAGAATTTAACACAGACAGCCATAAAGTGATGATCGCAGATTAAGAGCAACCAGAATCTCTTTCTGCATCAAATTTTAATCAGATTGTGGACTCATTAAATTTCCGGAGTATTATATTTAGCAGTTTTCCATATCCAGACT